GTGTTGGTGGACAGACGTGCTCCTAAATGACCGATGTGAATGAGATGGTCCAGCGGAGTTGGTTTGCTTTTGAGTGTCTGGCACCAAGACTGCATGTGGTTGTGGCGGTTCATCCTGAAGATGTGATATCGGATGCAGCTGTCGCGATTACCGGCGCGGCGCGAGGCCGATAGAACGCCTGCTGTGTGTTCGATGACTGGTAGAAGAGGTCGGGCTGGGGAGGTGAGTTGCACAGCGCCTCATGCCCCCTTTCCACCATGTCATCCAGAGCGAGGTACGCCATCGCATAACCTGGGCAGGTGAATAAGTCGCGCTTGAGGTAGGTCGCGGCGTTGAATTGTGTATCTTCGGCCGATGTCGATGTCGTGGGAGAGGAATTTGTCCAGTGTTGATTGCACAGCTGTTTCTAGGCGGGAACGATTGCAAGAGGCATACTGGAGCAACGAAGGCATCTGAATGGGCGGGACCTTGATCTTTTCATCGCGGTGGTGATTCTTCGCTGGCCGGATTTGCCAAAGTCAAGAGGATGAGGTCAGCCATAATGAGGGCCACAGAAGATAGCGACAGAAAGGTTGGCACCGCGCGCGGATGCAATGGCTGCTGTGGAGTGGAGTGGAAGAGATACTCTGGTGCATGAGTGGAGAGACAGAACACAGCGGCGTTGTTATCGCCGGGCGGGTGGGCGATGTTAACTCCGGGCGCCCTCACCATCGGCGACGGTTATTCTCCTGGGTCAAAAAGTTATTCCACTAGGTAGATTTTAACGTAGATTTCTACACAACACAATAACAAAATAAGATAAAAAAAATCTAAAAAGGTAGTCTTGTAGAGCGCTTTTCTCTCTACAATTCTACTTTTTTACTTTTTAAATATTTCTTTATAATATAGAGATATCTAAAAGAGAAGATTAGCTATCTCTGCTAGCGTTCTTGCTAAGCAAGGTACGCTCTTTTTCTAAGATTCTAAGCTTAAAATTAAGAAATAAAAAAATCTAAAAAAGTAGAATTATAGAGCTCTCTTTTCTCTACAATTCTACCTTTTTAGATTTTTTTTATCTTGTCTTGTTGTTGTGTTGTGGAGGATTCTATCTAGGAATCTAACTTTTTGACCCAGATGAATAACCTTTGCCCTCACCATCAGCCTGCGCTGGCTCGGTACGCGATCCACGACCTCACGCGAATCCAGCTGCGCATCGCTTTTGCGGTGTCGCAATAGCTGAGTTGGCATCGCATTGGAGTTACCATCACGTGCAGCCGCCTCTTGCAAGACGCCGCCCAGAATGCGGCTCCGGGCGTTGAGGCCCGCGATGTGCTGTGCGACCTTCCGTATTGGCCGTATAGTTTCGTTAAGGGTCGCCCTTTGACAGCAGACACGCAGACCCTCAACCACGCCGCTGTGGAGCCCCGACGCTCTCCATGCACGCCACGACTGCACATTCCTGATATCCAGACTCCTGCACTCTGCGCATATGTGCTGCTTCGGTCGCAAGCGCTCGGCGACCACCAAAGACAGACCACGGTACCAAACATGCGCTTCGTCGGCCTTCTCCCTGACTGACCGCTCCAGGACCGCGTCGTCCACCGCAGACTGCAATGTACGCCTCGACACCCCGAAATCTGGCCAGCCCAATCCCTCCTTCTCGACCGAATCGCACCTCACCGACACGCCTGAGCAAATCATAGAGCGGGTGGGCGGCCGGCTCGTCATTCCATACCCCGAACAGGATGGCTGGCACGAAGGGCTGGATTGGCGCGACAAAGGAGACACGGAAGATATGGTGACTCCCGACTACCAGAGGGACCTGGGGGCAGACTGGGACAAGGAGTATGAGGTCCTGGCGGGATACAGAGAGCCAGAACGGCAGCCATCAGGCGGCAAGAAGACGGCGCCGGCGGACAGCTTTGCGACGCTCAACCCGCCCGGTCGCGCTGAAGGGAGTCAGAGTGTCCGGCTAGGGGCAACAGTGAGATCTCTCGTCCATCCTTGATCTGGCATCCAAGTTGACCATCTCTTTCCAGCCAGCGCACCAGCTCGCGCCCTCCGCACACTTCAGTCATGACTCGAGCATGACCACGGCGACATCAGCTCAACACAGAACGGGCTGAGGTATGATGCGCACGGGGAGAGGTTTTGGCGCAGCGTGCGCTCGACCAGGGCATCCGCTTCATGGTTTGGTTCTCGTAGACTACTGCAGTAGAGGCGCGAATCTATAGACGTGGCAGCAAGAATGCAAAGTTTAGAGGGATCAAGGCAGTAATGGGCTCACGGGTATATCTCGGGGCTATCGAAATCTGTTCTTCACGCGGCGCTTCGTTACCACAACGGGCTACAGTGCAATGCAGAGCATCCTGAATAGGTACGCGGACCGGTCCGAGGTTGCGGAACTCCTCTCGCTCGCGCATGCTGCAGTAGTGTAACTGGTGGCATCTTGTGTTGTTCGTTGTCCAATCCTCGCTCGTGATGTCAGCATTTTGGGTGGGTGCGGCCACGCTAGATCCATCATCCACGTGGCTTCCAAGGTTGGATCTTCAAGCCTCACGTCATCACCCAACTACACCTCATCACAGCTTTGTTGAGTCTCCTGGCTTCTGCGTATCGTGCCACACCACACGCAATATCACAGCGCACGTCGGTAACACGGGTAGCTGGCCTTTCAGATGTTTGTGTCGAGGTGGTCGAATTGGGTGCCATGCCACCAGCCACTGCCTACAAATGGCTACAGAAGTTATCCGAGCAGATTTACCTGGGCAGAAACGTCACGAGTACCAAGCTGAGAGGATATGAGCTTATTACCGGCACGAAGAGGTCTGTTTAGCGAGCTTTGATACATACTGATCGCCGTTGGCCGGCAATTTGGCTGGCTGGCTGAGTAGGTACACAACGATATGCATTCCACACACTCCCGAACCTGAGGACTCGCTCATCCGCTAGACTATGTGCCCTTTCTCATCAGCTAGGAGCTTCACAGCAGCCATATAGCGCGATAAAGAGATACACGGGCCTCTTGTTCGGACATTTGATTCATCATGTCTGAAGGATCTCAAGACTCCCACATTATTCGCATCTTTCTTACTGCTTGCCATCAGCGGGCTGTGTAGAATATCATCGATCCAGTTCGGACCACATTCTAATACCATCGCCATCTGCATGCCAAACCAGAAACTGGTGCGAGAGAAGATAAGTTTGGACATCTTGGAAGGCGCTCGCTCGTGAGTAGAAGTACTGTCTTCTTATTGACAACATCAAGGGCTTTGTGCAGCTTATCGCCGCCCTCTTCACAACATACTTCGTCATTCTGACTGCATCTTCCAGTAGCGATGAGCTGAGCAGGAACATCGAGCTCGGAACGATGGAGATTTCCCCAAGTACCATGACAGGGAACTCTGCAGGTGTTATCATGTCCAGTATTTCTTTTGGAAACTCTATCTTCTTGGCCTGGAACTATATCTGTCGAACCTGGCATCTGCTACCTGAGTGTTACTTCACTCAACTCGCCCAATCTGGTTAATCGTTCGCGCCAACACGAGCCACACTACACGCTCGTCTTCAAAATTGCTGGACCACCGGAAAGAACTCATACTCCGGCGTCGCATCTCCATTGGTGTCAGATTTGCCAGACGGTCAGTACCCAAACAAGACAGCACTGCACTTCCCCGACTTGGTTTCCAAACCACGACATTCCATCCGTCCGTCGCGCCGACCGATATCCTCGTACGTTCATTCCATCTACTTCACACTTCCGACTCACCCACTCACAGTATCGCAGGCGAATCGATCGCATCAACAGACGAAAGGAGCCGTCCCCTCGGTTTTCTCCATCCTCATTCGCCATCGTCACCATATTCTTCGCCATGTCAGCCAACAGCACCCCGAAGCGCGCCGCCAAAACCGCGAAACCCCTCCTACCCGCCCCTTCTTCGCCCCTGAGCCTCGCTGCGTCTCCCTCCTCCAGTCCAACCAAGATGACCTGGGACGCCGCCAACGACCGCAAGCTCTTCCTCCTCATCTTCGGCCGTACCGTCACCCCCGCCGAATACCCGCAGCTATCCAAGGTCTTCCCCGGCTCCAGCGTCGGTAGTATCAGGAACCGTATCACCGCTCTTCGGGCTGAGGCGCGCAAGGTGCAGGAGGGCTTGGGATATGAAGTAGGCGCAGGCGCGGCGCCCAAGAAGGTCGCTGCTGCTACCCCCAAGAAGCGAGGTGCAGTGGTGGTCAAGAGGGAGGCGGATGATATGGATATGGATGAGGAAGACGAAGATGAGGATATCGTCCGTGACCCGAGCAAGAGGATCAAGGCCGCTGTGCGCAAGCCACAGGCTAAGAAGGACGGTAACTCTAGGAAGAAGGGTCGTGGAGGCGCCGGTTCTAGCATTCTTCACCATGGATCGTCTGACAGCCAGGATGAGCTTGCCTTGATGGGTGAGGACAAGGTCAGGCGCAGGCCTGTGTCCGCTGGCGTCCCATACAGGGTGGTCGGAGAGTCGATCATCAGAGATCCCAGGACTGGCGATGTCATCGTTGATGATGAGTATGATGAGAACGAAGTCTAGCGATGTACTGACGCAGATCGAACATGCGCTCCTGGGTACTGATGAGAAGGAGGAGGTGGAATACATGGCGGGTAATGAAACAGATGCTTCCACGCAAGTCACCTTATCGTAGCTTACTATAGCATTGCTTTCCAAATACATCACCTGTTTCATGTGGTACCATCTCTTGAACTATCCGTCTGACACCTGTCAATCTTCTCTCCAGCTCTATCACACGTCTTCACCCAAATGAGGTTTTGCCGAATACAACTGCGTCGGGGGGTGTTCAAGACGATAGAAACCTTGTACGTATGCTCATGGGCTCATGCATCAGAATGAGAGGTCATGGTATTATCGTGGTCATTTCATTCATTATCTATCGTTCATCAGAGGGCTGCGCCCGGGGTATCAAGTCTAGTCTATGGAAGAATATGCGAAGGCCGCTTTCATGGCGAGCCAGTCGCGGGGTGTCTATTCTTTTAGCTTCTTGATCACAACACTTGGAGAGGCTGCGCGCTGGTGGGCATGGGCAAAGGCCCAGTCCACGTTCTCCTCTCCGGTTGTTGAACGCTTCCTCTTGGTACTGCCGTGTGTATCCTGCGTGCTAACCGACGTTGCTTCATAATCACCAGTACTATCGTCATCTTGTTCCGGACTGGATGAGTCATCGGAGTCAACGATCTCGACATCCTCTTCAGGGAGGAGCTTGGCGGCTTGTTGCACTTTCAGCGCATTCTCCGCCTCCACCGTAACGTCATGCAGCTCTTGATGAGTGATGTCCAGGTCCAGGTTGCTGAGATCAACTCCATCCGACCGCACAAAATCGGCTAATGTTAACGGAATTCGAGAGTTCGCGTTCACGACACCACTGGCGTCCTTGAACGCTACGGGATCCGGGCTACCATTGGCTACTGACAGCTTCTTGCCATCCATTCTCCGGCGGAATATATGATAGGTACACCATCGAGTGATACTGTCATCGACTTGCCGCTTTGCGAGATCGCGATATTCGATGTCGATACCCACCATGGTTCGGACTTTACCCTTGGACCTGAGGATGTAGCTCTTGGATATTCCGCGGAATTCCAGTACGCCCCTCTGGCTGTCGGCAATTTCGGCCATGAATGGAGGTGGCCACAAGCCTACAACCCCCATAGCAACGTCAGGTTCGCGTTCTGAGCCAGTGTCGAAGTCAGTTACTGGTTGACCATGGTCCTCGAATTGTTCCAAGACGAAACCTGGCGGAAGCTCTGTTGCACGGGCTCCGTGAAATGCTTCCAGCTTTTTCTCTAGTAGCTTCCTGAATCCGACTTTGATCTTCTCGTGGAGCACACCGGCGGGCATCTTGACTTCGAATGTGCTTTCGTCGGCGTCGTAGTGATAGTGCAGTTTATCGCCTGCCCACGCTCTGGTTTCACTGCTGATGATATCGCCTTTCAAGAAGATCTCATCTTTCAGTTCACACCAATCTTCGAGCGCGACAGTGAATTTTCGATTGCCCGCTGTGCGGTCTGCCTTTCCCTTGCTGAGACGATGGAGAAGGTTGTAGATCTTGCGCAACTCTTTCCTGCGTACGAATTCAGGAGGAGGAGATTCGGGCGAAGGATACACCTGAGGGGACTCGACAGAGTCCGCCCAAGGCCAGGAAGACGGAAGAGATGTTGTAGAAGAGGGACAGAGAGACGAGCGCTCGCTGTCGCTGGAGGTGCGCATAGTAGAGTCCATGGTGGGGTATCGCGCGGAGGAAGTGCGAATTTGCGGTATATAGTCGGTGGTGCGATGCGTACTAGCCGTAATAGTGCATATGTAGTGAAAGGCAGCAATGTTCATGGGTGGCGTTTTGTACTTGAGCGGCTAGCGCGAGCGTGCTTGGCGTCAACAACCCCGCCCTGTATTCACTGAGCGTCGCACCCACCTTATGCGAAAGAAAAAATAAAAAGGTACGGTGCGGTATACATTGGGACGAGACTAAAAGTTTCACCAGCTCTTGAGACAATGTAGCCTTCCCGCCTCTACAGATCGTGTTGACTGGCAATAAATAGATTGGCGAACACGAAGTGACCAAGAACTTATATCCTCGTTTCGTCGCTCTCGATTAGGGCCCAGTTCCTTCGTTTATCTCCGCATCTGCCATTCGACCCACTCGAATTCATGTAGTCCCTAGAGCTACCGCAACTATGCCGTGTGCCAAAGTGACTAGGTACAATCTCAGTAATCCAGCCCGAAGCAAGACCAGGGCGCATTCTAAGGTAGTCAAAGGCGCACTCCCTTCTTTTCGAACTCATGCAGTATGATGCATGGATACGTGGCACACTCATCCCAGAGATGCCAAAGAAGTAATGTGTACTTTGAGAGCATAACATGGTCTAGTACTTCAGTCCAAGTGGCGTGATAACAGTACCTCCTTCTGTAAGACAACAGAACAAGTCTTGTCAAACGACAGCTTCAAGGTACATACAATACCTAGAGCTAGATCTGATAGAAGAGTATCGCATGCGCATCGAATAGCAAAGAATACCGGAATGAAATTCAGCGCTAGAGATATCTGTCTCTTGAATCAAAAGCCATATCACATCTAACACGGGAGGCTATGCGATCAACGACAATGTAGAAATCGTGTAGAGAGCTCAGCCATCGCCACGAAGCTGCCAAGATGTACGAGACTGCGTCTTTATGATTTCGGTCATGATATTAATAAAGGCTGTTCTGACCCGTCAAAGTACCGTACATCGCTTCTGTGCATGCATGCAGTCAATGCGGAAGCGCACATCGATAACCCCAGCGGTCCTCTCCACTGCGTAGCCCCTGTCTTTACGACATGGAAAACCAAAGCATAACTGCTCACCAAGTTCTGCGCTTTTTGGTATATACTCCAGCGTACGCCTGTAATTATGAAGTCTCAATTTCCGTATTCGACATAAACACCACATAGCATAACGCATCGCAGGGATGTTGCGATAAGTGACGCGCATTCAGAATGTTGTTATAGGCAAAGTCTATTCCCTGATTGTGACCTCACAGCCAAGTATCGCGCCTTGCGATCGCGACGACCCATCGCAATATTGCTGAATGCCAATTTCATCGTTCCGTTGCGCTTGACAGGGATTTCCAGTATGAAGGCGATCACAGCATCTGGCGAAGGAGACAATTGGTAATCGATATCGGTATCAATCGTAGCGAGCACCCAGAAGCTGCCCAGTGTGTACATGTGGAATTCACGAGCTTCATTGTTAAGCCAGGGGTATAAACATGACGAAATCGAAACAACAGGCTTGACGTCTAACACGAACTCATCATCTACTCTCCCTCCAGTGGTTCCTTGAGAAGATCTTCCAGTACTTCAATGGAGAGTTTAGCACTTGGTTTGCCCAGCCACAGCTCCGCTATTCGCATCATATCATCCGCTGTCAAGAGGACTTGATTTGCCTTTCGAGAACAATCCTTCGCCTCCTCTACCTCCCTCGTTGCGGCGCCCATCTTCTCAGCCCACGCTCCATATTGTGTGACACGATGCTCTATCTGCCTGATTTCCGCTTCGCACGCATCTTTCATGGCTTCTAGTTTGGTCACGTCCTGGGTCGCCGAGGCTACCCCTAAGCGGGCGAAGTTGGTGATCGCCGTGATGTCTCCTGCGAGATGGTCATTGTAGTCCTGGGTAGCCTTGAGCTTAGCGGAGAATTCCGTTTTGATTTGTTCCAGGCTATCTTCGCTTGGCAAGGTACTCAGCTGCAGTGCTTTCTGCGCTTCCAAAGCATGACTACGAGCGGTCTCTTGCGCCTGGGCAAGATGAAATGTAGCTTGAGAGTTGTCTTCCTTGGCTGACTGGATTTCTTTCTTCTTCTTGACAATGATGTGCATGACCGCGCGGAAGTCCGGATCCTGCGCGAGCATTTTGAGTGACATGAGGTCTATACTATGGACCGGGGTGGATGGCTGGATGATATCGTCGCCCCCGAATGACGGGTCGTCCTCGGTGACACGAGAAGTGTCTAGGTCAGTGATGCTGTTACGATGGAAGGGACTCTCCTGATTGTTGAGTGTGTCCTGAAGGTCTTCTTCTTGGAGTGTGCTATCCTGGAATGACAGTGAGTCTCGATGGTCTTCAAAGAGGCTCGTGTCGTCGTCTGGTAATTCTGATGGGCCCCGTCTAGGTCGCTCGACTGATTGCGAACGCGAATGATCCCGAGGATTAGCTGGTGTCCTTGGTATCACTGCACGCCGTTTGCGATTCTTCTTTCTGTCAGGCGAGTTAGATAGGCGATTTTGACGCTTCTCAAGGCGGCGCGCCCGCTCAGAAGAGACGTCTGCGGCCAGGGTGTCGTTCGATCGCTTGTCCCTCCACGCGATGAGGTCCTTGAAAAATCGCCACGACTTGCAGTCCAGACGCTGAGCCTGTGAAGGTGAGAGCACGCTGTCAGTGCATGTGACAGGTCCAACTGTGGCTCAGATACGTACAGTCTGACCGAAGTAGGTCGGATTAGTAGGATCGTATCTCCGCTGGACACTGATGAGATCTTGACGCCTGACCTTGTCGAACGCCTGGAGCTCAGCGACAACGTCTGAGAGCGGTTGCGCAGCTTTCGAGTACTTGTTCAGGTAAACGGCAAGGTTGAACGACGGTACTTGCTGGATCCGGATTTGGTGTCGCTGGAGGACGGTCCACCAGTCTGCGCCCCAGTGTTCGGTGACACCCTTGATATTGTGCCAGACGTCTTGGAAGCTCTTGCAGCCACCTGTCTCTCCGAGTGAAGTTTGAACGCGCTTCTCGAAAGCCTCAAGGTCCTCGCAGTAGTAGTCCTGGAATCCCAGCACGAGCGCGGCAACGCAGACAGCCTCTTTGGTCCATACAAGGTCGTCGAGGGTCCGCAGATCAGCCAGCGGCGTGGGCGCGGCGGTTCGGTCGTGCGGGCTCAGCGCACTCTGGGCAAGGCGAAGCTCAAACACACGGCGGGCGTTGCTGGGTGTGTTCGGCATGATAACGCATGTTGTTCGTGTTGTGAGATGAGGTCGCGTCGCGGCCGATGGCGACCAATGAGAAATACACGCTAACTAAAAACGGACTAACGCCACGATCAAGAAGAACAACGGAAAGAGCAAGTGATAGTGGCTGCTAAGGAGCCTGTAGCCGGGCAGATATTACAGCAAGAGTCTCTAGCGCTGAGGTGAGGAATGTTGAATGCATAGTCAAACCAGTCTGGGGTGCGGGGCGATAAACATCAGTCGCACCGTCCATTTCCTCGCCTCACCCTATAATCAAGATACTTCCGACAACTACAGCACATGTACCACTCCCCACCACTCGGTCGGTGATCCCGAATTTACTGCGACGCTCTTCGCAGGTCGTATGGCCACGGCCGCCTATGCCAGCTCTCACACAGGCGCGCCCCAGGCCGCCCTCAACCGCCTCGCAAGCTGAATGTCCTTCTGCTGAATCGTGACGCGCTTGGCGTGAATGGCGCAAAGGTTGGCATCGTGGAACAGGCCTACTAGGAAGGCTTCGCTCGCTTCTTGCAATGCCACGATAGCTTGACTCTGCCAGCGCAATGGGCCATCGATACGCGAGACGCTTAGGGCAACCTCGCGGACTACCCGCTGGAAGGGCAACTTCAGCAGCAGAAGGTCGGTAGATTTCTGGTATCGTTTGATCTCGCGCAGGGCGACGGTGCCGGGCTTGTAGCGTCTCTTTGGTCTGGGAGCGGGTGGAATACCGTGATGATTCCGTGGTTCCACGCGGGCTCCTCGGGCTCCTCGGGCAGGCCTCCTGCTTCCAGTCATTTTAGAGATAAGCGTTTGGCGTATTTGATAGCAAGGTATGGGTGACAAGAGAAGAGAACGGCCTGGGTGTCTGTATCCGTTATGCCGTGCAAGCAAAAGATCAAGTGCATGGGATCATTCTGCGCGTAAGGTAGACATGGTTCGTGGTCCAAGTACTGTCGCGTTCTTTGTGTCTGCATGCGTCCATGGCGTAGCCAAGGCTGGATGTATACCAGGGATGTGCGGATGCGGAGGCCACTGGTCTTCGTGAAACAGGGTATTGTGACAATGGCCGCGGTATCATATGCATCTGCCATGTTGAGCCGACCCATGATATAGGTTGTCGAGACACAGCCTTAGAAGCGCGCAACGCGAATGAAGGTCGTGGAGGCTGGTAGAAGAGACCCTGTCGTAAAATTAGAGCTCGAGATTGAGCGTGTCGCATCGGTGCAGTATTTGAGGAGATGTTCTGGCAGCACAGCGCTCCAACGGAGAGACGCTTGTCTTCATATTGCGGTCGTGCGCGACAGCACAAAGCGAAAACGGGATGGATGTCAAGACGTGGGCCGGCGAAGTGACGCGCTGAGGTGGGAGCTGCTCCGCGCTAGATCAAATGCGGCGGCTGCTCGGCTGAGCCGAGGCCCTTCCATCACCTCGCGTGCGCGTTGATTCTCCTGCGCCTTGGAACTATCTCATCACGGCTTTGGCCAGATGAAGCATCTACGAACTAACGCTCAGGAGTGACATAGACACGTCAAGTTCCGCGTGTCCGGTAAATCTGGGGCGGGCTGAAGGGTACGCCTGGAGGCATTCTCTCATGCCACGCGCGTTGCGGAAGAATGGACAGGTAGCGCTGGAGGTTCTCACCAAGGCTTCCAGCGTCTTGGAAAATCTCACCGATAACCCTGGAGGTATTTGATGATGCTGCGATAGTCACGGAAAAGTTAGTATGAAGGCCTGAGGGTATTTACTGCCTTGTCGAATGTGGGATAGGTGCTGTAAACATTGTGGTATTCTTCAAGTGCTCCTTTCATTCAAACTAAAACATCAAGATCATATAGGGTATCATCAAGTCCAACGCCTTCCTCACCAGGTTTATCCTTGCACCACCTCCCAAGTCCGAGATCTATTTCCCTAACCATTCACTCACCCAGATACCTCTTAGTCTTCACCAGAGGCCTTCCCGACCTTCCCACTGGTGCGGGCACAGGTTGGGAAACTACAGGCGGCGTCGAGGACGGGGTCGGCTGACGCTTCTGCTTCTTTGACGGTTGAAGAGGTTTACCGGGACTGAGAGACGCCCTGTCCACATCTTGCTGCCGCTCATCACCTTGTTGCAGGATATCGCGGAGTTCCTCGGCAGTAATCTCGATGGCAGGGAACTTGAAGTCCTTCGGAAACTTCTTGATCTCCTCTATAGGAAGGAAGTCGGCCAAAGTAAGGCGAAGGGTTCGCGTGATTTGCTTGCCTTTTGCTAAGTCGAAGAAAGTGAATGTCTTCTTGTCGTACGAGTCTTTGGTGACGCGGTAGATGGATATAGCCGCCTTCGGTGTACGGGGATTGTCGGCTCTCGTGGCTGGGTTTTGGTATTGCAGATCAACGGTGATGACCGTCTTTGTCTTGCGGCTGCTGTCTTTCATCCAAGATTCCGCCAACTCTGTGAGCTCCTCGCCAACTTGAGAATTGCCGACTTCGATGACGATGGGCATGTTGGAACGATGGCGAAAGTAGAAAGAATTGTCGGGCTGTCGATTGCTCGTCAGTAGGATGTCGACATTGGGGTCACCGGACTTTTCTGTAGCATGAACGATCGCAGGCGATGCAAGATTTGCGTATGGACCCTTGATGTTCGCCACGAGAGCTTTGATCTCAGCGGACACGTTCCTCATCCGTTTCAGGGCGACGATCTGGTCGCGAAAGGCTAGGCCTATCTCTGCGGCGACAACGTCGTGAAGGTTGCTAGGCGACATCCTGCGCAGAATGATCTCTCCGGTGAGGGCGTTCCAATCGTATGTCAAATGGTTCACTAGCCACCGGCGCAGCTGGTCGTCGAAGGACTTGATGAGATCAACGAACTCAGAGGGAGTCACAACGGCTCGGTACCGTTCCAGGTCGCGGAGAGTAGGATCTTCGAAACGACCGGTATATTGACCGCGAATGAGATCCTCGACAACGGTGATCTTAGACACAGGCTTGCGGCAGTCGCTTTCGTCAGTCGACCTGGATCGCTTGCGCGACTTAGGCAGCGGGGAAAGAGAAGAGGTAGAAGGGTCAGTCGCCATGAGTGCGAGTTTGGCGGGGTCGGAGACAGGCATGGAGAGAAGATATGCTCGACAAACGCTGCGAGCGGTGGGAGAGCGGCGGCGAGGCTGTCACAAGATTCTGTCCGGGTGAGACCCGCGGGACGGATGTGTTGGGCTCGCGAGCTTGCGATCGCTAAGTATGGGCTGTATGTAGACGTGAAGTGTCTGTTTGCGCTTAGAAATTGGTATAGCGTGCGGCCGATATTCGATGCGATTGCGACGTTGGTAGTCGGTGCCGCAGTCTGGGGTTGGTGTGGGTAGTAAATACACCAGTGGCGGCAAAGGCCCGTTACCGAATGCGGCTAGTGCGCCGGCTCCGTTCGCGGTGGGCAGGATCATGGATACCAGCCCAACCCGCAACCTCACCGTTCTACCTGGGCAGAGATTGAGTTGAGTAGATAAGAGAAATGACAGGTCTGTCGTGAGATAGTTCTGCATTGCGCACGCGACGGAATGCGCGAGAATGCGCGATGATGACTCTCAAGATCCTTCCCAAGACGTAACCCTGCCATCTCGGAAAGTCCTGCGCGGCTGCTCAAACGCAAGTAACTAATTCCAGAAACCTAGTCACGAGCAGACCCAACTTTGTGATCATCTTCATCCTCACGCCTGCCGAGCAAACATCTTCGCTCATCCCTATTCAAATAATCACCGACTCAACCCACGCTCCAATGCATCGCGTCGTGCGTACTTTGTCTCGCTCGGGAGTGAACTCAACGCTTCATTGCTGTTGAAGGTGATACCGCATCCACCTTCAGGCACTGACGTGATCGCGGTAGTGATTCTGGGGGTATATTCAAATCCCTTACACGTTCCACCGCAAGCCCAGACCATCATGTCTACTTCAGAGCCTCCGAGTCTCGTGACAGCAGGATGAAGCAGCCAACGATGTAGCAGAAGCTGTGGACTGCGTGCAACGAAGCGAACCGTCGGTATGAGTTCAGTAAAGATTTCCGCCCGGGTGTCATGGTCTGCATCGAAGATTACCCAACCTCCTCATGTATGCTGTCCGTCGATCCTGCTCATGCTTGCTATTGTGTCTTGTAGTACCGTCATCACTGTGATGCTCACCCACCTACGACGCGCTTGGCTCTCCGCCCCGATGCATCCAGTTCCCAAAACTGCCTCTCCGTAGCTCGACTTTCTCTGGCTCGTGAGCGGCGGAGCATCGTGGAAGATGGCTGTATGGAGGATGACGATTGTCTGCGGCGGGATTTGCGAGCAGCTGCGGCGTGCTTGATAGGCGATGCGGAGGCCGAGTGCCCGCGCTGGGGTGACGTCTCAGGCGGAGTTGGAAAGGATGGCGGACTGCGATAGGAGCGTTTGGGCGGTGGTGAGGGCGATGGAGTAGGTGTAAGTTGTGGGGATAGTCGGCCCCAGGCGAGTTCGGGTGTTTTGGCATACGACGCCCGTTTGGGTGGTGCGTCGGTGGTGCCGGCCGCCTGCAGCTGGTCTTGCAGCTTCTTCAGTGCCGCCAGCAGGGGCTTCGTGATGTACTGTTCCTCGTAGATTCTAAGCACCGCATCGGGTATGGCCGGCGAGCGCGGCGGCGATGCCAGGTCGTGCTGTAGCGACGTCATGCACAAGCGGTCGGTGGCAGGGTGTTGAAGGGGCGTGTCGAAGTCGTCCCAACACTCCAGGGCTGGCGGCTATTTCACTGGCCGGTCTAACCGTATCGGGTAACCCCCGCCCGCATTACCCAACTCCATACATTCCGAGGCCGCCCCTGACCTGTCCTCTCCTCTTATCACACCAATGTCTTCACCAGGGGATACTCTGCCAGATGTAACTTCATGGGAGAACGTGCATCATGGAGTGTCAAATGGTGACTTCGCGCGATTGGTGCCGCATTCTCCAGCGGCACGCAGACTCTTTGGCCAAGTCGTCCGCCTGCTCGAGTCCGATAGCAGCAAGCTGCATCATGTGCGCCAGTACATTCACTACGAAGTCACGCTGTCCAGCGAAAGTACTGCTGAAAGCAGTTTCGCTGCTTCTACCCCTTCACCCCAGCATGAACCCCTCCAAGAATTTTGCGGTTACTACCGCCTCAACATGTCCATTCCTCCTGCGAGTCAAGGCTTAGGCTGGGTTGTGGGGAGCTCAAGACTGAACAAGCCAGATCACTTTGTAGACTTTCTTCTTGCTCCATTCACCACTGAAAATTCTCTTCATTCACGTCATTGCAGATTGCGACGTCAGCTTGAAACTGGCGTCATGGTTGCCGTGTCTGATGGCAGAAAGGTATTGCCCTGTGTCTCTTCAGGGGCGCGTTTTGCTCATGATGGTTGCAGATTACTGTGGACAGCAGAACCTTTCAACGCGACGACAAAAAGCCGCAGCACGAACGAGATTTCCAAGCTACCCTTCAACATGGCACCAGCATCCGGCTGGGTGATCTTACTTACGTACTCGTGTACACCGACTTGAGCCAGGAGCAGAAACAACGAGAACTCGAAGAAGCCCTAGCACAGGTCAACGCTATGCCTCCGAATTCCGTGATGCTGCTTTCGCCAACACCATCCAAGCCAACTATTGACTACCACGGCTACAGCATCTATGATGCTAATCACCATGGCGCCACGAGTTCTGTATCTTTGGGCTTTGACAAGTCTAACGGCAAGCCAGTCGCGGTCAAGATGGTCAAATGCACCGCCTCGCAGTTCGGTGACTTAAGAAGAGAGATTGGCATCTTGAGCCGTATCAGTCATGTATGTTATGCGCTGGATCCGATGAAACGAAACTAAACTTTTGTCTAGGAAAACGTATGTAAGCTCCTTGAGGTCGTAAACTGGGACGCGTCAGCCAATCCACATGAATGGCGACAGAATGAGTGTCTGACTGTGGGTCTCATTATGTCACCGCCGGCAACTTCCTCCGCGCTGCAATTACTCCCAACCTGGACACGTCTTCCTGAGTCTACTACTTTCCTTCGCGAGTCCATACGCCAGATTGGATCCGGTCTTGCACATATCCACAGCCTCAATATACTTCATCGGGACATCAAACCAGAAAAT